AAAGGACGTCAGCAGGTGGATGTTGTCGTTCCCCAGCCAGAATTCTGAGAGCCGGCTACCAAACCCTTTCTTGTACGAATTCCAGTCACGGAAAAAATCCACGGAGCCGTCTGCCCGTCTCTGGAAAACCTGCAGGGGAATGGGACAAAGGTGGGAAAATTCCTCACTAGGTTCGATCCTTGGTAGGCTAGGACACAGGTCACTCAGACTAGAAATCAGCAGCTTGGATCGGAGGTGGTCCATTCCAGCTCAGCTGCTGTAGGGTTCACGTCAGTGACAGTGGGGTGTGTTTACAGTGAGAATGTGAGGCCAATTCCCAGGTGAAATACACGCTGGGCCCCGCATAACTCCAGAGAGCCACCAGGCCTCCCTCTAGGAATCCCTCTCCGCTCTTTTCCTCCAGGATTTCTAGTTCCAGGGTTGGGGAGTTGTTCCTGTCAGGCCAGCCAGCTTCCATGCTTCCTCCCAGAAAGCTTTGTGCCATCCCTGTCCATCACGCCCAGCACAAAGGCTGCTAGAGCGTGCCTGGTAGCTGGCATGCCGGGAAGTGATGGGGGTAGAAGGCTTGAGAGAATACGGTGGAGAAGGGAAACCTGGCCAGGCTGGTGACAAGTAGCCCCTGAAATGGACATTCCTGTGTGTACAGTAATTCCTCATTTGACACTATAGAGATGTTTCAGAAAATGATCGTGTTAAGTGAAAACGTGTTATGTGGGGTCAATTTTCCCATTGAAAATAATGGAAAAGGTGGGGGTTGCGTTTCAAGCGGGGGTGTTTGTTGGGATTGGGACATAAGGTTGGGGAAGAAAGGGGACTGGGTGACAGCAGGGAGGGGAGGGGTTTGGCTCTGGGGAAGGGAAGGGGAGGAGAGGGGAGGGGGACATGCTTGGAATCTGGAGCTAGAGCCTGTTGTGTTTATACCCAATGTACGTGGTCACACAGGGCAGCATCAGAGGGCATCCCAAAGTAATGGTCTTTTGCCTCACTGACTCTGGCTGCCGTGCTGAGCGAATGGCTTTTTTTTTTCATTTTGTTGCCACGCTTCTTCTCAAACAGCTCTGTGCTGCTCAGGCCCCCTCCCCTTGCCGCACAAAAGCCAACGGTGCGAGAACATGTCAGGCGAGAGCCACTGTCCACCATGTTCCGTTCTTACTTACAATCCACCCTCCGCCGTCCGTGTCCATGTCACACAGCACGGTCAGGGCGTTGCAGTCGTGGGGGTAGATGGTGTACCAGCCGCTCAGGAGGTTCCCTCTGGCTAGCAGCTCCTGGCAGTTCTTCACTCCTGGCCGGAACAGGGATATTAACATGGAAGTTAACCACTTACACAATCAAAGAGTCATTTCTTGATAACGAGGCTGCATCTTGGCACGTCTTGTGCCCCCAAACCAAAATGTGGGGAAATCCAGCAGGGGACGTGTCTTCAGCATTTCTTGTTACTTTCACAAGTCCCTGGAGCTCTCAAACATACTCCATACAGCCCTTTCATGCCCGCCTCCAACAGACACCAGACAGCCACACACGTCCCAGCCAGCCAACCTCAGCCCATGTCAGCTGGAGCGTTAATGACAATCGCATTCAGGCAACCCCCGATCAATCGTGACATTTGGAAAGTTAACTCGGCCTTCACAATGCTGGGGCCACAGCCACCCCTTGAAATGGGCACTTAGAGAAGATAGACTTTTCCAGACTCTTTGGTACTAAATATGGAAAACAAAGGAAAAGACCTCAGCAGAAATCTTAGAGCATAACACCCCGGCAACTGCTCCACCATGATTTGTGGCCCCTTTTTTGTGTGTCAGAAGCAGTCACGGGAGCAAGTTTGGATGGGGAGGATGTGCGTTTGCGTTCGGAGCATGCCAGGCATTTGCACAACAATTCCCACTGACAGGTTCATGCCGCCGTCTTCAAATCCGGGCAGCTGGAAGGCCAGTGCGGTGGACCTTGACAGAGCAGGAGACAGGAGATCAGTTACAAGCAATTTTGAGTACAACAGCAATGGCTTTTGAGTAACCCTATTGGCTGAAATTTGTGGCCCAAGAAGACTTGATGAACAATCAGCCCCAGTTTCACATTGTATCTTTTTTTTTAAAGAAATCAAAGAAGCCCCCAGTCTGCCTGGAGAGAATTCAATGACGAGAAAACGGCAAAGTCTGCTGAACTGCAAATGGTCAGTCTGTCCAGCTCTACTCTGGGGCTGTGTCTACATTGGCATCCCTTTCCAGAAAAGGGATGCTAATGAGACACTTCGGAATTGCAAATCCGCGGGGAATTTAAATATCCCCCGCGGCATTTGCATTTACATGGCTGCCGCTTTTTTCTGGCTTGGGGTTTTTGCCGAAGAAAAGTGCCAGTGTAGACGCGATTTTCCGGAAAATAAGCCCTTTTCCGGAAGATCCCTTATTCCTACTTGCAATTCCGAAGTGTCTCATTAGCATCCCTTTTCTGGAAAGGGATGCGTGCTCATAAAAGCTCACCGAATAGTTTTTCAGAGGCCAAAGCAATGGATTGCGCTTATTTCAAATGCTAAACAAGTGTTGATCAGAATATGCACATATATGCACCTCCCCCCCCACACACAAAAGGTTCTGCAACTGGTGTTTTAGTTACCTGTCCTTACTGTTGCTTGAGCCAGCCTAGTGGCCAGCTAGACTGAAGACGAGTGGGAGCCGGGCCTCTGTTGGATGTGTGACGAGGCTCCGTTGTTGTTGCAGAACAAACCCAAAGTGCCCCTCATCCATTTGTATAGTAACAGAGCCTCATGTAAGGAATTTGCTGGGTCAGGCCTTGGTTGTTAATTACAGCTGGTTGTTTCTGCAGTTCTCTCTCATCATTAGTGTTGGATAAACTGGTTGTTTTCACAGCTCGCTGTCTCTTCCATCACCTTGTTTTATATTTTGTTCTTGATGCAGGGTGAATGCCTTTTGCACTTTAGGGCTGTTAATCTGCACTGTTCACCCACCAGGCTGATCAAAATCCTTTGTTTTTTGTAATTTGCGGGGGGGGGGGGGGCTTTCATCTACTTAAACGCCACACATACCTCTTTCACACACAGGACAGCACATGATTTCAAAAACACACCTCTAGCAAAACAAAGCAATCGTCACTCGTACTAAATTAATATAAAACTTGAAAATAATTTTTTCAAGGGAACTATATATTAAAACAACTTCCTTAAAAACTGAACAGCCTCCCAGCCTCCCAACCCATCCTATGTAGGAACTTCGGGTTAGATCTGTGGTCCCAGAATGGGCTGAGATGGCAGTGGAGTAGACACACGATTCACTCACCTTTCTTGCACTGCATGTTGTCTAGATCTTCCTCCCCTGGGCAGGACAGAAAAAAAAAAAAACCTCAGTGGAAATGAAATGGAGCCAGAAGATGCTGTTAGTCTCTGACATACTCCCTAGGCTCCCACTGACAGCTGTAAGCAGACAGCAAGAGGCCCCATCGTCACAATCTGGTTCCAGTTGTTTTTGAATGCCGTGGCTGTAACATTCTTGCTGGGAGTGAGAGCTTTGTGAGGTTGTTGTACTGCATGAGGCCAGGGCACTGTCTCACTGTAACTAGTCCACCTTGAGGACAACACTTTGCAAGTATTGACTGGGAATATCAGGAAGAGAGGATCTAACTTCATCCTTGGTGCAAACCCCTGGCTTTCATGCCGTTGCAGAAGGGATGGAATTAGCCTGATTACTTGAATGCGCTGTATCCCCTCGGTTCTAAAACCAGGATGGTCCTTCATTCCATCTCTCCGGGGACAAACCCGCCTGTGTGGAAGTGTTGGCTGAGAGGTGGGGGGGGGGAGGAGAATGGAGAAACTTGAGTAAGAGGAGCATTGAGTGACCTCAGGATGAAGGTCCCCATTTCCCAGCATGCATCTGGCTCTGAAGTGGGCGCCCGCTCCCCACTGCTGGCTGCTCTGGCCTGAGCCAACCTAACAACCGCAGGTGGCTTCTGTGACCAATCCCTGGATCACGGACTGCGCCATTCTGCTGGGTCTGACCGGCTAAGATTGTGTCGCTCTTGGGCTGGAGGTGATGTAAGTGCTTTTGTAGCTGCTCACTCCCAGCTCTGAATTTGACCTGGTAGGGTGGCAGGGCCAGATTTGCTGTTAGGTACGGCAGGCCCATGCCCGGGGCAGCAGCATGCTAGGGGTGCCTTCCGTCTCTCAAACTGCAAAAGGAAGATCAGCTGTTGGCCGGGAGGAGGGATGCTGAAGAAGCCGTGTCTAAGGGGCAGAAGGTGTAAATCTGGCGCCGTATATTAGCCCAGTGGTTCTCAACCTTTCCAGGTCACCGCGCTCCTTTCAGGACTCTGGTTTGTCTTGGGTAATCCTCAAGATTCACCTCACTTGAAGACTGCTCACTTAGAAAATCAGACCTCAAGTACAGCATCAGCCACACAGTGACTGAAACATTGCTGAAATATCCATAGTTACTTACCGTTCCGCGTGTAGCTTACAGAGCAGTATGGACAAGCCATTGTATGACATTTGTTTGACTGACGTCATGGGTGATGCTGATGTAGCCTGTCGTAAAACTAGGCAAATATCTAGCTGAGATGATGTGCCCTCTGGAAGACTCTGTGTAGCTCCAGGGCTAAATGTGCCCCGTTTGGAACCATTATATTAAACAGTGAGTGAAAAGGAGAGGGCAGTCACCTGCCAGGTGAAATGCTGCGTAAAGAGGACTAGCAGAATTCAGCGCAAACAGCATCCGTTGCTCTGGATTCTGGCGCCGACATTTGGGAGCTAAGCAGAAAGGTGGGAGAGTTGCCTGTGCTGGCATCCGCGCAGGCCAGTCAGACGTGCTAAACGGAACCAGCCGAGGGTGGGGAAATCTCCTGCAGTCACTGCAGATGTTGCAATGTTCAGGTGGCCACCCTTGCGCCCTGTTGTTGCAGCTCAGGTCATTTTGCTCTTGAGGCGTCACATCACCCAGAGGCATCCCAGTGATCTCCCTGCCATGTGCATGGAACGGGTGTAAGAGGCCGTCCTTACTCACAGGCAGAATACGCAGCTGCATCGGGGTACCTGAAAATGTGGGGCACCGCTGGGTCTTAATGTCCATCCACCCACCTGCCTCTTCCTATCCTTGTTCTGTGGCTCTGCTTCCTCCCGAGAGGATCTAGTGAACGTAGGAGTGGACAAACCTGCCCACGCTATTAGCAGACACTGAACCTATGGAAAAGTCCTTCAAGTGGCAATGGCATGACTGGATTTCCCTGAGTCATTTATGTTTTAGATCGTCAGCAATCAAATTGAAACTAGAGCAGAGCACTTCTCACCTAGTGTGCCAGGGGCTCCCGTTTCACCTGAAAAGAAGAGATCAGAGGTTCACGTTCTTGTATTGCTTAGAGGACACAATGAGCTGCCTCGTGTGGCTTTCCCTTCCCTGCCGGGGACAGCACAAGCTCCATGTACCCACTAGGGTTGCCAGATGGTTTAACCAAAAATACCAAACACCCTCCCCCCCAAAAAAAACACTTTAGAAAAAAAAGAGAGAGACCAAAGTTGTTGAGAAAAAAAAAAAAAAAAAGACCCTGACAATTATTAAGCGAAAAAAAAATTAAACATTAAAAAATACAACCCCCCCCACCCCCATGGCCCCTTTAAGGCCTTTGGGGCTTTTTTTTTTGCCAGCAGCTAGCTTGTTTTCTTCCTCCATGCCAGAAGATATCAGGTTCTGCAGGGAAGCTAAGTGGAGGGGAGGGGAGATCTGGGGGGGCAGGTCCGGGAGGGGCCCGGGAGCTGGGCCCAGTTGCTGAGTGTCATAGGGTTGCCAGGTGTCTGGTATTTTCACCTCCTGGCAGGGAAAAAACAATCAGAAAATACCGGACATTTTAGGTGTCTGGTATTTTCTGATTTTTTTTTTTTTACCGTACAGGAAGCGAAAATACCGGACTGTTGGGGTCAATACCGGACACCTGGCAACCCTAGTACCCACTGAATCCAAAGGTGCAGCTTCAGTGATGAATTGAGCATCTCTTGCCCTCTGCGGCAGGTGAATTTCCCGGTTCCCATTAAACGCCTCACCCCATTGGCAACACATTCCCAATTCCAGGTGGCAGTGCTATGGCAAAGCAGACACACTCTGCAGATTAGATCTGCTGTTAATGGACAGGCCCAAATACCTGGTTTGCCCAACTCTCAGTTGCGCTAAGGCCAGTTCACACCATTCTGACAGCGTGAAGGGTTCTCAGATTGCATCAGCATAGAATTAGGCCCTATCCAGTAAACAGCCAGTTGAGTCTAGCCTGACCCGGCTTCTGGAATTGCTTCCTGGCTGGGAGCTTGTGAAAATTCAGACAATATAAAATGGCCGGTTTCATTAGAGCCCGCCATGCCCCTCCACCCCCTCAGCAGGTCGCAGAGCAAAGCCCCATTGCTCCCGTCCACAGAACCACAGAGAGCAGCGCCCGGGTCCCCAGGGAGGAAAGCACTAGAGAGCCCTCACCTTTCGGTCCATGCAGGCCAGCGACTCCTTTCTCGCCTAATTAAAGACAAAATCCAGGGACGGGAAAATCAGAGAAGCAGTAATCGCGGGGGGAGGGGCAGTCAAGTTCTCTTGTGACTATTAACAGGCAGCACTGGTGAAACCGAGGGGGAATGTTACCCTCTTATTGGCAAATATGCAATGACGGGCAATTATGGTCGTTTTGGTGCTTGGTGTTGGGAGGTTGGTTGGTCACCTCTACTCATAATAACCCCTGTGTAGGATCATAGACGATGGGGGTTGGAAGAGACCTCAGGAGGTCACCCATCCAACCCCTGCTCCAACAGGACCAACCCCAACGAAACAGTCATCTGGTGTGTATGTCCTGCTGCTGCTGTCACCTACTGAGGGGACAGACTCTCTGCTCACTGTTACTTTACCTTTCTCCCCAGCTGGTCCCGCTTTTCCAGGGCTCCCTGGAGCTCCCCGTTCTCCTAGAAGCATAGGAAACTGGGAATGAATATTTTACAAAAGATCACAAATTCTGAATCCCCCCATCTTGGAAATAAAATTACTCTCCTCTGCCTTAAACCAAAGAATGCATCTACCCAAAGGCCCTGGCCTGAAATTCAGAGCTGCTGTCAGCTGAGAGCTTTGACGCATGATCCGTGGTGGCAGCAGGTTTCCCACGTTCCCACTCAGTTCCTCTTTGGGGCCTGCAGCTCCAGCTGTTCCGGGGCAGCCCTGGAGAACGGCGAGTTTATCAGAACCGCTGAGACCCACGATCCTCACCTCTGGGGAAAGAAATGAATCAATAAACAAATCTGTGACTTAGGGCCCTAGGCTCGGACACATTCAGCCATAACCAGGAGGGAAATGAAATCCCCAGATAAGAACCTCGATATTCCCTTCGCTTTGTTTGCATCGACTTTAGTAGTGAGTTGTGTCTGATGAGATAATAACCAGGAGCCCTGGTCCTGACCCCAGAGCCCACTGTACTGTGCTAGGTACAAATACTGAACACTGAGATGGTCCCTGCCCCAAAGAGCTCGCAGTCTAAAGAAAGTGCGAGTGCCTTCACTTTTACAAATGAAAAAGGCATCATCCCATGGCTGATGCATACAATTTGCAAGGGTGATTTCTTAGCCTTCTGCACAAAACTTTTTAAAAAGTGGAAATGGCTTTTTCTCTTTGGACGTGAAGGAGAGAGTATTCTGAATTGGGCACCAATGAGCTTCAAAGAGTAAAATTAGATTTTCCAGACTGGGCTAATACCTGAACCTACACAGACTGCGGGTCTGGTACTTTTCCAAAGTGAAATATTTTCTTACCACAGCCTTGTGGAGACGGGTGTGTGAGCGATTCCAGCAGAACTGTGGCCAGGCTAGAAGTTAGGAAGCAAGTCCGGTCTGCATTGCTCTTCCAGCTCGCTCTGTTTATCTTACTATGTAGTGTAGACGTGTGCATCTCTCTCTCTGTCTGCCCATCCACCTGCGAGTCCGTTAGTTCAAGAACTCTTGCTAAACGGTAAGAGCTAGGATCTCCACATTTGGGAGGCAGCTTCCTCTTATCCTAACTTAAACCAAGGTCAGGGTTTGGTTGTGCCAGGACACTGGGATGGACCTGGAATTTGATTGTTTTTCATAGCATGGAAAGGGAGGGGTCTGACAGGGGGGACAGTTATCCTGCCAAATGACCACAGGGGGCAGCAAGGGGCCAGAGATGGGAAGTAGGGCAACTATAATCCCGTTGGGCCCGTCGGGAGCAGGGGTGGAGAAAGGGACAGCTGTCTACCGTATCAGTCAGAGAGATTGTCTAGGTCTGTTTGTCTGTGAATCTGTCTGTCCTCCAGCTGGAGGATGTGCACCCCTGCCTTTGCTATGCCCACTGTAGTAGCCAAGGAAAGGCGCTTCTCACCTGGCTCCAAAGGTGAGAGAGGCCCCTCTCCCCACTGCATACTGACTCCCTCCTCCCCAGCCCCACCCTAGAGCAATGGTTCAAATGAAGAAAGACAAAAACGTATCTGAGTTAAGGACCTGAGCAACACCCGGTAAATCTAGTTTAAAAATACTTTCAAGGAGCAGTTATTGGTGTTTGCACCAGTAAGCAAAGCACCTTCCAGAATTGTAGGGCACACGGTCCCTGCTCTAAACAGCAAATCCACTCCAGGTGATTCTGCGAAATGGGCAGTGCTGTTGCCAACAGGTTTGTGTCTCGCTCACCTGGGCAGGTGTCCTCAGCCGAGCAAATAGCTGCTGCGAGACAGAGGAAAGTGATGAGGGTTGGTTTTGCGGCTCTCCCCATGGTGGTGCTGCTCTCTGCCTCACTGCCCTCTCCTCTGCATTCGTGGTTTATGCTCCGTGAGCCTTTTATACGCAATGAACATACAGACCTAGCCTCCGCCTCCACGTCTCGCTGCCACTCTCCTCTTCGCTGCATTCCAGCAGTTCCCCCTGAGATTCTCGTGTTGCAGATTTCCCAGCCCATAACTCGTTCAGTGATCTGATGTGACCCGATCAGATGTCAGATGAACAGCACGAATGGAGATTAAAGATGTTTGCTGTTGTCATCAGCTTCACAAGAGCATTGGATTTGGTTTGGACGGAAGCCTAAAGGGAAGTAGTAAAATCGTACTGCGTCCCAGATAAGAGAGTGGCAATGAGAACAGCTACGGACACAGACTCCTGCAGCCCAGCAAGAATTGCTGGGAAAATTAAGCAAACGATTCAAGCCCAGTTTGGTGTAAACCAGGAATGGGCAAATCCCGGCCCACAGGCCGGATCTGGTTGGCCCCTGGCATGCCGCAGCTGCTATACTTGCCTAGGCCTCCACAGGTACGGGGGTTGCAGCTCCCATTGGTTGCGGATCACCATTCCTGGCCAATGGGAGCTGCGGGAAGTGGTGTCCCAGTCCGCACCAACAGGAGCAGCACTCACCGCCCTAATATAGCGGTGGCCCACCAGGGGCCAGCTCTGGGAACTGCTGCCATTTTATTGCCCACCCTGGTACAAACCAAGGGGCCATGAAGTCACTCTTAAACTGGAGACTGAGAATGTTAACTGAGTTAGAGGCCGTGGCAGCGGATGATCTAGAGTTAAGCTCCTAACGTATGTAGACAACGTTGGTACAACTGCCAGGTATATTTGAATCCCTGATCCGCTTAGTTACCTTGGGAAATTGGCCTCGTCAAGAAGGAAAAGTGGCTGGATCTTGGGAAAGGGAGAATGGGCAGCACTGAAATGCAGCTGCGCTGACCTCGGGAAGCAAGTGGATCTCACGGGTCCCTCAGATGCTCGATCAATCCAGAGGGCTCCATCCAAACAAGAGGGAAAGGAAGACGACTGAGTTGCAAGTGCTGCATGGAAACTGACCAAACTGTCAACATGAATCAGGCATTAGGCTGGGAACTAAAATGAGAGGTTCTCAAACCAGGGTCACCGAGGGGTCTAGAAGCAGCAGCATTAAATGCACAGGCATCAGAAAGCTGGAGGTAGGAGAGAATTCTTTGTATCATGGCAGGTGTAAAGCAGAATTTCGTGAAGACAAAAGACATCACAGTAGGATGTGAAATCCGGGCATGGGATCGGCTCCTACAGAAAAGATTACAAGGGGAGGGACACTACATTAGTCTCTTTGGCACCCCATCGTCGGAATGAAAAGGAACGTTTTGCAAGAATAAGGATGTGGTTTAATGTTTCTTTTGGCAAGAAACTTTCCCCGCAGCATTTTAGTGAAAGGTTGGGTCATAGTGGTTTTTCCCTGTTTAGTGCAAGCTGGGTGTCTGGTAAATGTGAAGTCCCCAGAGCCACGTGAGGGCTTGGCAGTATATTTTGGGAAGAGGGGAGCTGAGAAGTACTACAGCAATGAATAACCAAGCGAACAGAAGGCCGTGCAAGTCCTGAGGGGCAGGGCAGGGCCTTGGCCTGATACAAAACAAATGCATGAGGGTGCTCGACCCTGTCTCCTCCCCCGCAAATGCGCCGCAAAGGATCTAGCATAACATCGGTGCTCATGCTGATATGGCCAGGGAACCGACCCCATCTGTCTGCCCTGCTCCGCTCGGGGCTGGTCTCCACGTCTCTCCCCACTGCCCTCCACTGGCGGGGGCCCGGCAAGTGCAGCCGACAAGCCTGGGCGTGGGGTTGCCGACCCATAGCGTGGGAGTGGAGCTGGAGGAGTGGGCTGTTTGCACGGGGCTTGGGGAGCAGGTGGAAACGTTGGCCTGCAGCCCCCTGCGTTTGTCTTTGCGGCGGCTGCACTGCGGCGTCACTGAGCTGGGGAGCTGGCGCAGGGCTGCGTTTCTTTGCCAAGGCCGTTGGATTCAGGAAAAGCAGGTGCAGTTTAATGAGCTGCTGCTTTTGTTTCCTGTTTGCTAGCAGCTTGTCCGTTGCTGGAAGGGTTCTACGTCAGTTCGGTTGGCAAAGGTCCAGGGCTTGCGCCATCACTCCCCTGCAGCTCCTCTGTCAGCTGGGCTGGGCTGGGGGTGACGAAAGGCACCCCCGTTGAACTATCCCCGGTGCAGGGGGTGCACCTATACACCCAGTTGATGCTGCCCCTCGCGCATGACTGCTCCAGTAGCCCGGGTGCTAGCGGGGCATGGACAGAGCAGTGGAGCACGGCCGGGGCTGGGCCAAATGAGCGTGGGGCATGTTGGGTGCTGGGCCAACGGTGATCTGGTCTCACTCGGGTGTTCTGGGTTAGGGCAAGCTCTGCACAGAGTTCAGTACAGGGCCCTTTGAAATCCAGGTCTCCAAAAGTATCCAGTTCCAGTCCCACCTTCTACCTGCCTTCGATACTTCCATGGCCTCCATTGATGATCTTCCCCCATGGCCTCTCCATTGATGATCTTCGAGGATACTCCTTGGTGGATTATATTTCCAATGGAAGGCCCACCCTAAATTCTGACATGCAGAGGGGACAATCTCCACTCATTGATATGCCAGCTCTCTGAAAAACTTTCCATGTGTGAGGTGCCTGAATACTCAATTGCTTATATCCAAATAGTTTTGTTAAACTTTAACACCTAAATCTTGGTTACTGCTGGTTATAGACTATATGTAGTATGTGGCCCTTAAGGAAAACTTGTATTTATAGATAATCCAGGCATGGCACCCAGATGTACGGTCTCTGTCTCAAGCTGTGTACGATGTACTTGTTATAAAAAAAAAAACAGGACTGTGTAGCACTTTAAAGACTAACAAGATGGTTTATTAGGTGATGAGCTTTTGTGGGCCAGACCTACTTGCTCAGATCAAATAGTGGAAGAAAATTGTCACAACCATATATACCAACATTATAAATGTTATAAAAACATTTGCTTCAATAAAGTTTTAAATCTGAGTACCTCGCAGTCTTTCACATGTTTATCCTCTGCTTCAGCTGCAAGGCTTAAAAGACAAGAAATGTTTCTTTCCTGTATCTTCTGGTTTTTTACTGTGTGGATTTGACTGCATTCGACATACAGTGTCTTTGTTTTCCCATGTTAACCAATGTCCTTGTTGTCTGTGAGTCTG